TCTCTCTCACATTGATTGATGCTTCTCTCTCTCTCTCTCTCTCTCTCTCTCCCTTTCCCCCCTCTCTTTTCCTCCTCTCCCCAAAAAAAAACCTCTCTCTCTCTCTCTCTCTCTCTCTCTCTCTCTCTCTCTCCCCCTTCCTCTCAAGAAAAAGGCATGCCTCAAAAATAGACATGTTTCTATGACAGTATAATTGGGCTAAGAAAATGTTATAATTCCCTATATATGATAAGGAGAATAAATGGGGAACAATCCCATTTTAAAATGGCCTTTTATTTTTCCCACCTTCAGCCTCCCAACTCCTTGAAGTATATTTATGTATTGGCTCAGATATTGAATATTGCAGGCTATAATTGTAGTAATCAGTAAGAAGATGAATAAAACTTCAAATTTAAATTTCTTACACAGGATTTTCAGTGCCAGTGACAGTCTTCTGTGTCACTAATCAGCAGTTTCCTATTTCCTCCAGCAGATATTTAGCACATTTATTCCTTCAAACTCCTGCTCTGTACCAGGCATTGTCCTGAGTTCCAGGGATATAGCAGTGATGGAAACAAGCCTGCCCTCACAGAACTTACCTTCTAGCGGAATCCTGACTGCTACCTAAGTGTTGGTTAAATATGGGCAGTTACCGTTGGTGGGATGGTGATTGTCCCAGTTTTCCTGGAACAGTCCCAATGTAACACCTGTTTCACTTTCAAAAGGGTCCCAGTTTGGACAGAAAATTATATGACCCACCCTAGTTCTAAACTTTTTACATATGTTAATTCATTTAATCCTCATAATAATCCCATGAGGTATGTAAGATTATTAGCATCATTATACAGGTATGGAAACTGAAGCATAGAAAAGTGGAGTAGTTTGCCCTTGGTCATATAGTAAGTGGCAGAACCAGAATTCAAACCCAGACAGCAGCCTGGTTTCAGGGTTTGTGCTCTGAGTTCCTGTGCTATACTGCCTCCAGACGGCTATTGTCAATCTTTCTCTTACTCTGCATGTCTCCCTTCCTCTCGCTAGCCAAGTAAAGCAAGTGATCTCATTTCCTTCACAGATAAATTTGTGGCTTTCTCAAGTAAACTTCCTCAATTTGCCACTCCCTCCTTTACAAATCTATCTTCATTTCTATTTAGCCTCACTCCATCCCTCCATTTCAAGGAAGGGGACATCTTTCTTTCTGTCTAAAACTTGTACTCTAGTCCCATCCCATCCCACCTCCTGGATGATTCTGTTTTCTAAATTATTCTTCTCTTTTTCTAGGAGGGCTTTCAGTCTCCATCTTTCCACCGCTTTTCCCATTCAGCATGTAAGCATGATTTGTTGTTGAAGATATCACTCTTTCAAGAAGCTTTACTGTTGGGAGGTTTTTTTTCAAGTTTATTAGTAACATAATGATAAATGGCTATCAAGTATTCATTACCCTGTTAAATTCCAGGTACTGCATATATCTCTGATCCTTTTACCAACCCTGCTACAGATGAAGAAATGGGAGCTCAGAAGACTGCATAACTTACTGAGCTTATGAATAGTGGCACTGAATTTAGATTCATATTTATCTTCATTCTGTTGTTGGTACATCATGCTAGTTTATCACAATTCTTAAAGACTTCCCTTGATCATGTGCCTGTCCCCCCATTACCCTATACCCCTCCTTTTTGTAAATAAGCTTTTTCAAAGAGCATATTTAATACTCCAAGACTCTTCTTGCCTTTCATTTGCTTCTCAGCCCATTCTAATCTGTCTTCCACCTCTGTATTAATCAGGACCTTCCAGAGACAGAGCCACCATCTGTTTCTCTCTCATATGTATTTAGATTATCTATCTCTACATATATTTAGTTAGAGAGTGGGTATTGATTTTAAGAATTGGCTCATACAATTGTGGGGGCTGGCAAGTCTGAAATCTGTAGGGTAGGCCAGCGGGCTGGAAACGCAGGTAGAATTTTAGTATTGCAGAC